CCCTTAACGGGTCAGTACAGGTAATAAAATAACTTCTCTGGGTAACTATCCAATAAGCTTTAGTAATACTGCAGTTATAAGACAGGAAAGGTTCTGAAACACTTGGCCTAAAAGGAAAAGGGAGGCACAGTTTTAGAAAAAGATGCTTTTTTTCTTTTTTCTTAAATACAAAAATAGACCATCGTCTCATTAGCAATTAAGAAAATTGGCTGCCTTGGTATAAAATTATAAAAGTCAAAGACAGACAGGTCTCAATCTTCCCAGCACTGGTACGTGAAGGTTAATGCAGGCAGACTGGAGAGGCCACTGCAAAACCTGCTGCTTCCAAACGCACAAGCAGATTAAAAAAAAAAAAATTTGTTGTTTTTTTTTTTTTGTTTTGTGGTTTTTTTCCTTTTTTTTTTTTTTTTCCACAAAGGATCCACCTCTGCACTGCACAAGGCCCTCAGTGCAGATCCCCGGGCTGATCCCCTCCTCCTGACACAACCACCTCAAGGGAGCACACACCGGAGATGACAAAAGCAGGAACAAACAACGAGAGCTCTGGGTACTTGGTGTATTTAACGCGGTGCCATGTAGAGCAGACAGCTTGCATATGAACAGTCGCAGGTGCCAGAGAAGGAGGTAACCTAGCAGCATTCCAGTTCCTCACCATTTGAAGGACAATTTGTAACCCAGTGGACCTGGGCCAGGGGTAATTACACTTCATGCCAAACTTTAATCCATGAAAACTACTGATTCTTAACCTTTGGGAGCTTCGTTCACTTTAGGCAAGTTTTCCCTTAAGTGTCAAACGCTGGCTTCAAATAAGCAGAATTTTTTTTTTTGGTGGTTTTTTTTTTTTTTTTGGTGGTTTTTTGTGTTTTTTTTTTTTTGGGTGGTTTTTTGTGTTTTTTTGTGGTTTTTTTTTTTTTTTTTCCTCCATTTGTTACATTCCAACATTCAGAGAGGCTAAAACTCAAGAGGACCGTGCCGGGCGCTGGGCTTGCGACCCAGCTCAGACGCGGACACGACAGATTCGGCATCGTAAGTAATCCCCAAATTCTTCAACCATGAGGAGTTAATGCTTGTCTCTGAAAGGAACCTAGTTGTATAAAAGGGAACGTAACATCCAGGTGACTTTTTGTTTTGTTTTGTTTTGTTTGCCCTACCCAGTGCAGATTAGTGCCAGCTAAAACTGCTGTTGGTCATACTCTGCTATCAGTTTTTTAATGTGAGCCAGTTTGTTGTGGAGGTATTCGCAGCGGTTCTTCTCTTGGCTGTAATTGGGGTTAGTCTGTAAAGAAAAATGAGAATGCAGTGATGGAAGGCAATTGCTGAGAACTATCGGACCTCAGAGCGTAAATATACGACGAAAGAATGAAGCTTTTCTAGCTGGAGGAGCGGGTACCCATTTAAAATGGACCTAACTCTGCTGAAACAAGGCAAAGAACAAAATCCCTTTTCCAACACCCAGCGCCACGAGCCTCGTCACCGGGAAACAAGCGCACCCTGAGCAAGGCCCAGCCTAACTCGGAGCAGCTGGGCCGCGCACGTTCGCCTCCAGCGAGCATCACCTGCCCTTTGCCCCCACGTTCGCACTGAACCGTGCGAGCCTGGGAGCTTTAAAACAAAGATGAACTTGTCACACACAGGGAATCTCTTCAAAAAAGCTCCTAAATCCCTCAAGGATATATTTAGAGATTTAGAAACAAACCCACCCCCGGCGTCTGCATGCCCCAGCCCGCCTCGGCATTTCCACCTCATCCAGCTGAATCACAAATCCCTCCAGCCAACAACCGTTCTCTCCGCGTCCGTGCAGAGGTGTGAAACCTTCTGCCCGCCCCACCCCCGCCCCCCAAACCGCCGTGGGGAGCCCCGCAGGGGACGCTGCACCCAAGCGATTCCCGCTAGGGACCGCGTCGTGCCCCGCGAACCAGCAGCCCCCAGGGCCTGGAGGGTCCCGTTATCACTCAGCCCATGCCTCTGACATACAAACTGTTCGTTCCTCGATGGGATAAAACCTCTAATTTAACATATTTAATTCTTGGGCTAGCACGCCCTAACACAGCTGAGCGCTCCCCAGGATCCAAGGAGCAGCCTCAACTGCCCCCAAACCCTTTCTGATCCAGGCAGGGACGACGTCTTGCACAAGCTCAAGCTGAGCAGAGATCTGCCAGAACCCTTCAGAGACTGGGTTTGTCACTTGACAAGTGCCCATCTCTCTCAGTCACACTAAGGGCACGACCCAAAAGCCCTTTTTGCGG